CCTCCAACCTAATAGCAATGGCTTCCAACCTAATAGCGATGGCCTCCAACCGAATAGCAATGGCCTCTAACCTAATAGGAATGGCTTCCAACCATTTCCAACCTAATAGGAATTGCCTCCAACCTTATTATAGGAATGGCCTTCAACCTAACAGTGATGGCCTTCAACCTAATAGCGATGGCCTCCAACCTAACAGGAAGGTCTACAACCTACGAAGAATTGCTTCCAACCTAATAATTAGATCAGCCTCCAACCCAATAGCGATCGCCTCCAACCAAATGGCGATAACCTAATAGGAATGGCTTCCAACCTAATGGCGATGGCCTCCAACCTTGTTCCTGAGAACAGATGGGCCACGCGGCGAGTGCGGCGTTTGACCTTTCCTCTAGGGTTTTGCGATGAGTTTGCTGGATGTGCTAAGGAGATGCTGACAGCGAGGCAGCACGGTGAACCACCATCACCCTATACTGCCGCTCAGGTTTAAGTGCCAGGCTTGACTATGAACATGTAGATAGCTTGGACATGTGGATGCAGGATTGTGGAAACAGCATGTGACTTGCCCTTGGTTTCAGAGCCATGTCCACAAACCGCTACAGCATCTATTTAACGCTGTTTCCTTCGAGTGACGAAGTGCCTGAGGCATGGTACTTCCACCCTGATCCAGTGGCCGCGTCTTTTCCTGACAACCTGTGGGCTGGCCTCTGAGATTTGGAGATTCACCCAGAAGAAATGAGTGAATCTTGATGCATTTTCCAACTGTTTTGGACCAGGAGCCTCCATTTTGGGATTCTGGCGACGAGTGAGCAACTCAGAGCACATTTATTATGAACAGCAGATCAGAAGTTCCAGGTGCGACTCGAATCGTAGATCTTGGCACAAGAGCTTGCAAGGACCTCAGAGAGAAAGAGAGAGAGAGGGACAAGAGTGCAAGGCAACTGTCAAGCACTTTAGTAGCAATGGATAGCATGAGATTGCATCTCAAGTTCCTAACACTGATCAGAGCAAACTAAGCATATAAAGCCACCCACACTAAGGCAATTTCAGCACCTTCCTGCATTTCACTCAGAACAGTCCTGGGCTGAGCGAGTTCACATATTCCTTTGGAGGAAAGCCTTACTTTCCTGATTGGATGGAAGTTGAAGACAGTTAAACTGATTCCCAATGATCCCAATGCAGTTGTGAAGTCATTTGATTCCCGAAAGAACTCCTAGTAGCTTCTTGTTCCTAGTAGTAAGGCCAGGAGTCCCTAGTAGCGTCCTTGCTCCTAGTAGCGATGCCGTTCCGAGCCACCATGACAGAAATAGGTTTGCCAACCAAACATGTTGAACCCCCAACCCGACTCAAAACATTTGTTTGGTCAAGCATGTTCATAGAACCATTATTTTATCAGCTTCTATGATCCCAAAGAATTTGACTCACATGTGTGTGTGTGTGTTTGTTAGTAATTAGTTGGAAAAAGGCTGTGAATGATGGAGTTGGGGTTGGGACGAAGATGAAGAAACTCAAAGCCTCTCACTTCAAGGGCTCGAGCGCCCCAACGTGGGCACAAAAACCTAGCTGTGTTTGTCAAGGGAAGATGTTTTTGGTCAAGGCCCTTTGCTTTAGCATCGTGGCTGCGCTTGACTTCCCACAGGGCGCTCCTGTGGATTGGGAAGATGGCCCATTGCCTTCCACGCGGGCTGCATGGGTTCTGGTTGATGCCAAGGCTGGGCAAATCCAATTGCCATGGCAGCTGGCTGAATGTGGCATAGCTGGCGTTGCCTTTGCTCTGTGCGTGATCTTTACGTTGCTTTGCTGGCGACACGGCCTACCGGGCCAGGAAGTAGATTTGGAGGCGGGGCTAGGCGACTGGGACGCAAGGTGCGCGTGGGACGCAAGGTGTGGACGCGGCATCCGCGTGGGACGCGAGGTGTGCAAGCCAAGATCTTACAAGCGCGCGTCAAGATCCTGTGAATCAAGTGGCCTGGAGCGTTTCGAAGATCCAGGGCTGGCTAAAAGCGAGAGCAAGAGCTGCAAGCTTGGCGCGCTCGGCCTTTGGACCGGTTGGGCATGAAGATGCTGCAGGACTTTGCAAAAAGAGCTGGGCAACCATGTTTTACAACCTCAGCGACTTTGATCTTGAAGACCTCTTGGAGGAGAAGTCTGGGCAGGATGCTACATGGCGCGCAATACAAACTGCCCCTGCACTGTTTCAGCAAGCTCCAGCGAGCGTTGCAGCGCATGCGCTTCAAGCTTTGAAGGCTTTGAGGCTTGCAGACTGACCCTTACCCGCCTTTCAGGCGATGTGGGCACAGCTGCGGTGTCGGCTGAGGAACTGCAAGAAGAGCCTCGGCTGCACTGAGACTTTTGGATAGCCGAAAGCGGGCTGTTGGCGCCGTGCTCTGTTTTTGATTCACCCAAACAAATTACCAAAATTGGGTTTGTCATCGTATGGGCGTTTGTAGCAAACCCTGCGCCCAAATACCAGGGCATCTTTGTGTTGCTGGGGTGAGGTTCACAGATTTAAGGTCCGTGGCCATGTGATTGCAACAACGAAAGTGGTAGGTGGCCCCCTTTATGAGGTGCATCGGCTTTCAAACGGCGCCGCCTGCGGGAAACTCACCGGTCTTGGCTGTTACCAATGCGTCGGCGCTGGACGCCGTTTGCTGGAAACCTGGAGCAAAGAACCCGGGACGCCGGACATTCTACCGTGGTACTTCTTGCAGCGCCAAGTGCAATTCAATTTTACCTCTGCTGTGAGTATCGCTTTCTGACGGAAGCCAGAACCTGCGTGGAAAGAGCCTTGTTGTACTTGAGTTGCCGAGCTCCCTACCGTCACGCAGCAATGCTGAAGTATGTGTAGCAAGGATGGGCGCAGCAAGGACGGACTTCAGTGCACTGTGACTGTGGCTGCAGCGAGGCTGGGGAATCAAAATGGCTGGTTCATCCGCGAGTGATCTTGGCTACAATTTCTCCACTGAAAATGCAAGCGGCATCCAGCGCAGATCCTTGTGATAGTATCAACTATATGATGTTTTGCAATGTTTTGCCAGGGGCTGTGCAGGCTGTGCATTACGTCCACTCCACCAGTCGTGGTCATGTGGTCACATGGTTGGCGGTGACCAACTACTTCACCCAGTTCAAGGTTGATCAGCAAAGATCACAAGGGCTTCCCCACCAAGAACTGTTTGAAGAAACTAAGGGGCGATTCAGCCCATAAACCCAAAGTATGGCCTGCTATTCACATTCAGAATGGGGGCCAATCATGCTGATAAGGTAGAAGATCGTCACAAACCCTGCATTTGGTTTTCTTCATGAACAAGGCCTTGGTTCGTCAACGCTGGGTGCTTCATTCCGAAGAAACTCGAGAAGAAAAACCTCGAACTGGGAGGAGCCCCTAGTAGTTTCTTGTTCCCGAATTCAAGCACTACGTATATTTTTGAAGTTTGCCTAAAAGACTGATTCGTAGAGAAAGAGATCAAAGAAACTCCTTGTCAAAGGTCAAGACAGACCATGCCAGCGGCTGTCCCTCCCGGTGACGAAGCCGCTGCACGTGTTTGGTGGTGTTGGAGCCTCGCATTAACCAATCTGAGCTAAACGATCTAAAACCAGTTCTGTTGGTGCGAATCTGAGAAGGACAAGTGCAAACACAGAGATCCTTGAGGTGGAAGCAAATCCTCCCTGCTTTGCACTTCTACCGCGGCACATCGTGACCCCTTCCGCAGTCTTATGTATAGTTCGAGGCTGAGCATTGAGTCTTATGACAGTTGTCCTCCACAGTCCACAGTGCCCTTCAGTGCCCTTCGGGCCGTTCCAAGGTACAAACCCAATGCTTTTTCGCACAGAGACATGGCGCCTACATGTGATGAGTTACATGACACTCTTGCAGGAGACTGCGTGACACTGCCACCTTTGCAAACAAGTTGCGTTTCTCCGTCAGCTGCAATGCTGAATGAATCATTGCAGCAATATTACATAAATACCGAGAACAAGCAGCAAACTCCAAAATGTGTTGACATCTTCTAATTACAGGACTTGCGAGCGGTCGAGGAGGCCTTCACAAGCTCATATACGTGCTGTACCAAGTACTTTGCCAAAGAGACGGTATCAAGCTGTGCAAAATGAGGATTCCTGCATCATTTTTCCCCTCTCCATGATATTCTCAAAAAATACCATCCAACTCGCACCCCATACTACCACACACACACACACATAGGTGGCGCGTTGATCCGAGCTTTGTGGAGAGCTCAGTTCGGCCACTGGAGTCCATGAAGTCCATGGTGTAGCGATGCCCTTTGCTACTAGTAGCTTCTTCTAGTAGTAAGGCCAGGAGCCCCTAGTAGCGTCCTTGCTCCTAGTAGCGATGCCCCTTTTTCGCCAGGTGCTTGGCTTATCCCTGGGTCTCTTCCGGCATCGACGATTGGATCGGAGGTGGGGCCAACGATGAATGTGGTTGAATGGGTTCGGCGGATTCGGCATCCAAAATCCAAAACCTAATATATAAACAATCTATAACAAGATTGGACGAGGGCAACATGCAGCAGCAAGATATTGTGTATGATTGATTATGACTATGAGTTGGAGCTAAGTTTCAGTAAATTTGGTCACTTGGTCTTTGTGCATCGTTCGCACTGTGGGCTGGGAGAAATGTGTGTGTCAATGTGGCTTACACTAATCTCGTCAGAGGAGTATGCCTGATTCCAATGAAGATCCGCTCGCTGCCGGTTGCATTCAGGCTCGCATGCACTACCGTATCTCTTTTTTAGCCCGCTCCTACTTAATTATATAAGTACGCGCCAACTTAATGAAGTAAGGGAGCAAGCTAATTACTAGGCTAAGTTTGCTTCTAGGTAGCGCAGGATAGCACGCTTCTTGAAGGAAGCTGCCCGCGCCTGAGGGCGGGGGGAGCTTCCTTGAAGAGGCGCTCACACTGATGATTTGGTTCCTAGATCTTTAGATGCATTCTACACTGCACCCGGCAATGGGGAGTCGAGAAGAGGGGAAAAGTCAGAAAAGAGATTTGTGAAAGCAAATGACTAAACAAGAATCACTTGTCAATCCGGAATCCTTTGCACAGGCAGCTAGTTCGGACAGCCCCTGGATCCAAGCAAAAAGACGGCTGCCGTGCTTTCTTTTCATTTGCCAAGAATCAAAGGTAGATGAGATTGTTGGCCCTCGGCCTGAGCTTCTTGGCTCAAAGGGATGTCAAGGCAATACTGTAGATTGAAACAAAGCAATGTCAATATTGAACTGTCATCTCTTCCAAGATTTCTTGCATATGCTTCAGATGCAAAATCTTCAGGATCTGAATATGTGTTGCAATTATGTAGACCTATCGGAGCAACTCAAGCTATCGCGAAGACTTGCAAAGAACGAAAGCCTGGAAAGCCTTTTCAAGTTTCCGCAAAGCGATGTGGCCTTTGGGAGATGGGGAAAGATGTGGATTTGCACGTTCCTTCGAAGGAAATCCCACGTGTGCGGTATCCAGAACAGCTCTCGCGTGAATCCTTTGAGCGGGATTTTGCCGCCAAGAGCGAACCTGTGATCATTGAAGGACTTGTTTCAGACTGGCCTGCATTTGCAGATCCTGAGAGAAACTGGCGTGGCTGCAGATGGGACGAGTTCATGGGCAATGAGGTCCTTGATGTCGGCTTCGACCCATTGGATGGACGTATGATGCATTTCGGAGATGATACAGGTGAGCCACGGCCAAAGCCAATTGGTGGGCGGTGAAGAGTTTCAAAGTCCTGTATACAAAATACATTTACACATGTCATATGTATCCATTCAATTCCATTCCCCCATTGCAAAGATTCTGAGATTCTTGACACGGCTCAGGTGAAGCCAATGTGCTTTTCAACCCTGGACGGCTACGAATGCCGGCCTGGGCCTTCTTGGAAGTGGCCCGCTTGAGACAGATCATCCTCCGTTTGCGACGTGAAGAAGGTGAGGTTCATTCTTCCTAAGCAAATTCTTGTTCAGAGAAAGATGGCGCCAGAATCTTTCAACAAGGCATCGAATCAAATAGTAGAAGTTGCACGACACGGCATTCAGGGTAACCTTGGTAGCTCAGCATACATGCGAAGCACTGTGAACTTGGAGACTGCATCTTCTGGGAGTGTTTTGGAGCCCTTGAGGCAAAGTTGACCTCAAAAAGCATGCAGACCTACACGGACGGCTGTCCAGACGATGTCTCAGTTCTCAAAGCAGCATCAAGATCTAGCAGTATGATCGTACAGTCGAGCCTTCCGTGCAATGAGCCAATGAGCAAACCTGAAGTCGGACGGCATTCCTCAATTGATTTAAAGAGTTGAAAGTCGCGCCTAGTAGCGTCCTTGCTCCTAGTGTATGGCCAGGAGCCCCTAGTAGCGTCCTTGCTCCTAGTGGCGACATGGCTTGTTACGTCCACCCTGATTGGTTTACCGAGGAGAGGTGTCGGTCCAAAATGTGCCCTTTCTTTCTGTAGATGCAGATTCACCGCTGACTCCTCAGTTTCGACAGCTCAGCTCATGCGACAGCTCCAAGCTTCCTGCAGTTGCGAGGCTTCACCTCTTTACTCCATTGACCTGCCATATTCGTGATTTGATGCTTGGGGGCCCAGCAGGGGGCGACTTCCCTCACTATTCTAAACAAAACAAGGCTAGGAGAGGGTAAAATGATCAATCAAATCCCCCTGAATTATGTTTTTCCTGCCCACTTAGGCCCTTGTCATTCTATCTCTCTCATGACACCTACGCATTGCCAGAAGAGTTGCAGAAGGCGGGTTGTCCCAGACTGATCCAGTACTGCCGTCTATTTTGGCCAAGTGAAGATAGGATTGACAGATCGAGCCTGCAACAATTCAGTTCACCAGAGTTTGGCCCTACAAAAGTTCGAAAGTCCCACTCCACTTTTCAGAAACTTGGGAGGTATTGACTTCTACAATCCAGGTGTAAACCCTAAAGAAGATGAAAGAGGAAGTTCATGTGCCGATCAGTGCTTCCGAGTGATGAACCAAGGACTTGGGTCCACAGGCCCCCAAGCTGATTGATGGATGGGCCAGTTTGTTGCTCAGCTTTGACACGCTGATTCTGATGAATGTGAATGTCTTAGTCTTGGGACCAGATACACGAGGCTAGTATCACGCATTCAACTTTATCGCCAGTAATAGCAGTGCTGTGATGTTTTGGAAGCTCACGGAGCATGTAGACACTTCTACACGAGAATTCAGGATGGATGTGGTGTGAGTGAACAGCTTTGCGCATGGTGTTGTGGTTTGCTCGAGTAAAGGCCCCAATTCTTCGCGCATTTGGGCAACGAATGGGGCGCCTTGGCCGGGGTCTCAAGCGATGTTAACTGCAGCCTGTCTATCTGGGACTCGAATGGGATCGATTGGGCTGATATAGCTTTATTGTTACTAATAGCAAGAATGCTCCTAGTAGTAAGGCCAGGAGCCCCTAATTGTTACTAGTAGCGATCTCCCCACGGACTCGATTCATCTCGATTCCTATCCTTTTTGTGTTGATGGATGCTGATGGCCACTCTTCGGTCAAGGCGGGTGCCGTACCCACCATGGTCTGATCAGACGGTGCCCGAGCCCGGGGAGGCTCGAATTCTGTTTCCGTTGAGCTGCTTGGATGCTCAGAAAACAGGACACGATGATCTACAGTTGCTTCCATTGTGACCGAATGGAGACTTTGTCAGCACTTTTGAAGTACCGTTGGAACGGCCCAAAGTGCCCCAAGATGCCCTTTATCCTTCACCTTCACTTGAATCCCAGTTTGCGGAGCTGATGTTAATATATAGTCCTTCATCCAGTCAAAGCCATTCAGGTCGTTTGTCAGGTGGACTGGTGTTGATCCGAACGGTCAGACTATGTTTGGACAGAGCCACAACACTTTCAAGACGTTTGCAGTTGCTTGTCTGGTAGTTCTTTGTTTGGTCCTAAATGAGCTAGCTAGAGATGGCCACGGCAGAACAGTGGCAGGCATGTGTTGGTGGAGGTAGCCAATAACCTCATTCCGACTGTTCAACTCTTACAAAAACATATTTATGCCTATTAGAGGCCATTGCTACTAGGTTGGAGGCCATTGCTATTAGGTCGAGGCCATTTCAACTCTTTTCCAACATGACGTTTCGACTCAAAATTAATAGTGGTCATGGGATCGGTTCTTTTGCGACCGTTTGTCGCACAAGTCACCTCAAGTAACCAAGTTCCCAAGTTCACCTTGGTGCCACACTTTGCCAGCACGATTTGCCAACACAAAAGGCGAAAGCATGCTAAAGCCATTGCCAAATATCTTGGAGAAGGGCTCTACTTGGCCTTGTCAGGTTCTTATGTTGTTTTGCAAGATGCTGGCCTATGGAATACCATAAGGTGCACCAAAGTTGAGGTACACTTCATGACTAAGAGCTAACCAAAACAAAGCCGTTTGCTCCTGGCGAGGGCCAACACTGTGTATGGAAGCTTCTTCCCGGGGCATGCCTGATCTGATCAGCTTGAGGAAAACTTTCACTCTATCCTGGCCGGTGAGAAGCAGGTGCTGCAGACATTAAACTGAAAGTTGCATGTCCGTGCTACACTATGAAAAATATTGAAAAATGGCTCGGCTTAATGAAATTCAATAGATAAGGACTTTAATCTCAAAGACTGGCTCAAGAAGTATTGAGCACTGAGGTCATAGTATATCATATCGCACCGGTGATTGATACGAGTATCATGTAAAGGAAGATAGTCCACATGTTGTCCATATCAAGATCAGCTGATCCATACTCAACACCAGGAAAGTCGACTGATAGGTGGTCTTGGTGCCGCCTGGCCAGCATGATGTCCTCAACTCGACAAGATTTGCGGCACAAAAGCTTTGCCCTCAGCGGAGAGCTGAAATGCAGTCCACAAATTGCCCTGCCATTCTGAAGGCCAGGCCGTAGAATTCAAACATTCCCTTGGGGTAGCTCCCTCAAAAATTGTGGCTGTTTTGTGGAAAGTCGTGATCCTGGCTGAGGCAGTGGCTTTTGGTGCCAATGCCGGGACCCAGCAAGCCAGGGCAGTATATGGGCTCTACCTTGCCGGGCATCCCAAAACCAGGTATTTGACTTGAGGTTCGCTGATCAAGCGCTCCAATCAGCAATTGATACGGGAGAAAGTCGATTTGTTGATGTCTCCCCAAACTCAAACCGCAGCTGTGCTAATAGGAATGCGAAAGGGTTTGGGCAGTTTCATTACTGGAGCTTCATACCAGTTTGGTGTTTGTTTTCCCCTACTGCCACACTGTCAGACAGGTTGAGTTGTTCGCACCTGCCTGCCAGGTATACCTCGAAGCAAACGGAATGCACCAGCGACCAGAGCGCAGTGCATCCCTTTCGATCGCCAGAGGAGAACCGCAAGGTGGACAGGTTAGTGTTGCAGAAGGCATACAAAGGCCACAGCATGTCTTTGATTCTTTTACTCGCTCAAGATGTTGAGCATGTTCTGTGGCAAGCTAGGTTCGCAGACCACACAACACAAAACAAAACACTCAAGGAAACCAAACATGTGGCAGACGGAGCGAGCCGAGCGAACGCGCCACACCCAGCTGAGACCGCAAGCGAAGCATCACTCTCTCAGAGAGGCACGAAAGCCGAACCCAATTCACACCGGAATCTGTCTCAGAAGCATTGCCCACCCCAGCAAAAGACCCAGACAACGGACACGCCGCCAAGTAGTAAACACCAACCACCACCACCACACCAGGCAAACAACAAACCAGATCCGGGGACAAAGGCCACAACACGTTTACGAAAATATTGAAAATCCTTGTGATTTTGCTTGACTTGTCGACCTTGTGCATTCATTCTTGCTGTGCATCGTTTTGGGAACTTGATTCAGCCTTCGTCAAAGAGAAAAGGGAAGAAAAGAAAGATACAGTGAGGAACCGAAGGACAAGCATAAACTAGCATAAAGGATAGAAAATGGATAGCTCAGATAGCAGGATAGAGAAAAATAATGAAAAAGAGCTGGGATTGGATGGCACCTGCAAGTGCTTGCTTTCGGATCTTGCCTTTGGTTTACGCTTTTTCAGGTCTCCAGAGGCCAATGGCCAGACCATGTAGACTTCCCAGTGCGTCATGGGAAGCTTCGAAAGGGTGACACGCCTGGATTCCTGGGTCGCCACAGAGCACTGAAAAACTTAGATGCTGACATGATGTGATTTAAGCTCCTTGACGTAAATAGTATTAAAGTGACTGCACAGGAATCGCCTACTAGACGTAAATGTGTCGTTGACAGGCCACTCCGTGCCGTTGAACATGGCTCACTTTTTGCGATAAACAATCTCCAGCCTGAGGTTGTACATACCAGCCTACCATTGGCACTGGGTTGCCACCTCGACGCCTCCATCCATTGGTGTAGAGGTTTGCCAATCAAGTCACGTCACATGCTGTCCTACTGAAACAATTGAATCACAGACAGACAGGTTTGCTTTGAGGGACTGGAATTTCCCACTTTCGTCAGGATGAGGGTGCGTTAGCCTTGTCTGTAAACTTCTGGTGCTTGCCTCAAAGGATGCTGCAAAGCTCGTCCATTTGTGCGCTCCGTGTTTTTGCTTCATGTGCTTACCTCTCAGACTTCGGGATGCCAAAGAAGGCCAGCTTGACTCAATGTCCACAGGCATAAGAGTTTGTGGGGTAAGGACTAGAATATAGTGTAGATCTCGAGGGGGGACACGGTCCTGATGGGCTGAGGTGGTGGCCAATTCACAACGACAAGGTCGGGAGATTTAGTCAGTCACAATACACTGAAACACGGTCTCCTGAGTAGTGGAGGCAAGCGAAGCCAACCCCCTTTTTCTTAGCCCGGGGGGTAGGCCCAGAAGAGGTAGTAGCTAGGTAGCTAGTAGTAGGTAGTAGCTGTAGGTTAAGTAGCTACTCCCGACAGGACGCAGACTAGCTCACGCTTCTTCAAGGAAGCGCTCGCACTATTCGTTTGGTTCCTAGATTTTTAGTGAAACTTATATAAGTTCCCCCCTTACAACTTATGTTGGCTGGGCCCTCTTTCAGCAGGCAATGGAGCAGTGGAGCTATCAGAATGAATGTGAGTGCATGGCCGCAGTTTGGATGTTGTGCTGTGCAACAGAAATGCTGCCACCCTCACCTTCTTTGAGCCATTAAAGTGGGAATCAAGAGTTTGCAACTTGCAAAGACATGAACCTGAATGGTATTGCCAAGGTCATTCCAGAATGCCAGAATACCTATGTGGCGCTCCTAGTGAGTATTCCCTGCTTGCAGCAAACCCGTAAAGCCAGCTTATGTCAGCATGCGCCAACAGCGTTCTCTTTTTTGGTTTTGGACGGTTTTGGAGTCTTGAAATAATCAACGAAAGCTGAGATCCAAGCCATCGCCTGACCGGGCATCCCATGCCGTGTCTTTCTATCAGCTTACGATGAAGCAGAGGCCTTTTGCCCTGTGCGATGACACGTAGACGCACCAGTTGAGTTGCCTATTAGCAAGGTTTGAAAACTAGTTGGGACAGCTTTATAGACAGTTCAAAAGCGGAATCCCGAAGCGTTTGCTTGATGCCCATGACGAGTGGCTTTGGCTTGTAGGCAGGAGGCTGCTGTGCCGAGGCCGTGGCCCACAGGCGGAAGCGAAATGAAGCGAACAGCTTGTGCTGCTATATTCCTTGCTCCTAGTAGCGATGCCCTTTGTTCCTAGTAGCTTCTGGCCAGGAGCCCCTAGTGGCATCCTTGCTCCTAATGGCTATGAATCAGAAAGCAATCTCATGTCATGCTCTGAGACCCTGTCCCTAGCCCTCATGTGGCAAAGCCCAAGCATCGAGACGGCTACGCCAAGAAGGCTCGGATCCCTTATAGAAAAAGACTTATATAAGAAACCTAAGAGCGATGGCCTCCAATCTAATAGCGTGATCACTAGAAGTCTTGTTTGGTCCCTGTTGCTCGAAAGCAAGCAACTTGACAACTATTGCAAGCCTGGAGGCCTCTGGTGTGGTAAACAATGGCAAGCACGGCAAACACATATAATTAAATAGCACAAAGATTCGATGCCCAAAGTGACCCGCAAATACGATTGTATTCAACAATGCCCGTGGGCCTGTGAAGCACTCGAGGCCATCAAGTTCGAGTTGGTTGACTGATGGCTGTGGTTCATACGAGATGACAAGTGCCGTCAGAGCGAGAAAAGTATCCATTGATCTCCTCTGCTTCTGTGGCTGAAGCCAGCTTGTGGATGAAAAGCTGATGTTCTAGCCTTGCTGAGTACTGGTTGTTTCCTGGTATGCAGGCATTGAGATCACCCTTCCGGTGTTATTGCTGAAAGGTTGACTGCCATGAAACATCAAAGCATCGGCAAATGAATGACTTGGTCAGCGTACACTGCAGACTGTTGGGTAGTGCTGAACGTGTATGACATGTGTTTTTCAGTTTATTTTCAAAGGTTCTGTGTGAAAATATCCTACCAACTGTGGCCAACCCCATGCAGAAAGGCAGTAAAGATACGTATGCCTACCAGGTTCCCCCGCTGTCCCATAGATGAGGAATGCAAAAATAACCTTTCTGAGCTGCCCAAAAGGGCTTGCTTTGTATACACCAAGCATGGTCAAAGTATGGCACCATGCCGGAACAGCCAGCAGAGAGCCCAGGCCGGCACGACGTTTGAACAAGCTGTCAGGTGGCAAATATCAATCTATCTACTGTAGAAACAAAGAGTTTGGAGATGTGCGATCCTGTCTAGTGCGCAATACGATTGATTGATCTACTGAGAGACACGTGCCTTTGACCTTACAGAGTGGCATTGCCTGTAGTTCTGTGTGTGTGTGTGTGTGGGGAGGCCTTCAAGCACTCCTGTGGCTGTCGAAGCAGTGGGAGGCCTTCCGCAGATGGCTGTGGCCCTGTCAAGGGACCACACAGTTGGAGGTGGTGCACCTCGACATCAAAACCTGACCGACAATACTCGTACCGACTGCCGATGCGGTGCAAGACACCAATGGATAGGACCAAGTGGACCCTCCTATCCGCGGCAGGGGGATACTTGCTACAGGATGAAACGCTTGATTCAAAAAGAATATACAGTAGTGATAAAAGATTTTAGAAGAAATGTATGGTGTTGGGCCAGCCTTAATAAGGAGCCTCCTCTATTCCTTATTAAAGGTTGCCAAACATCTTCATTTTTGATCCTTTTTGTATATTGTATTGTCTTATGAGTCTTATGTGTTTGTGTTGTCGTAACTTTTATGTTTCTTCACCAAGGTTTCAGGGAGGCGCTATGCTTCGGGAGGGCTATGAAATGACCTCCCCCGAGATTGCCTTGGTGCATCGTGGCGAGAGAGTGCTTCTTTTGCAAGAGGCACCCAGAGGAAGTGGCAAGATGTGGCAAGTGTGTGTTTTTCTGTTCTTTTGTTGAGTTTTATTATGTTTTATGCTTGTCTTTGGTTTGAATGCTTTGCCCGCCACAGCGATTCTGTCAATTCTTCATACAGGTTGGCCGACGAGCTCAAGTGCGCACTGGCGATGGTTTTGTCGGCTGGCTCTCTTTCTCCACTGCCGAGAATGTGCCAATTGCACAGAAAGTCCGGCTTGAAGGAAGTGCTGGCAAGGCTGATCTTGCTTACGATGGTTTGAGAAAATGTAAAAGTTGAAAGATTGCCAAATCAAAGGCGCCGTTGGTTCCAAAGCGGATCTGCAGGTTCGTCGAAAAGAGGATCCCTCTAGCTTTCGAGAAGAGTTTGAGTCCAAGTGGCGCAGGCCGGAAGCGAACTGGAAAGCGAAGTGCTCATGTCGTTCATTGTATGTTTGTAGGGACTGTCAACCATCACCAGCCATGCCTGGGTGCAATGCCTCAGCTTATCGAGCTAGCCTGAAGTTGTCCTATCTTTGATCATTGATCCAACCCCTTTTCCTTGCTTTATTTCATCCATTGTTCCTAATTTTGCATCAACCTTCCTGCCACCTCGTCGAAAAAGAGCCTTCCACAACCAGAACCTTGTACAGGATGCACCGCATGAGCGTATGAGCGTTTGGTGGGTGGATGATGGTTCAAGAACGCGGTCACCTTTTTGAGCTTTATTACCTCGGAGTCGATGAAAAGTAGAGAGAGAGAGAGGGGAAAAATATGTGTGTGTGTGAGATTCTTAGAACAGTAGAGGCTCCTAAGTGGGACCAAGCATTGCTAGGTCTTCCCAGTCTTCTTGCCAGGCTCCGGACAGATGTGGGACCTCCAGAGGCCCACATGCACTCGCTGCGGCAGAGCTCGGGTCGAATCCCAATCAGTCAATGGCGACCAGGTGGCCTTGACTCGCAGAAGGAAACATGTTTCTTTCTAGAATTAAGACTTGCGACGACAGGCAACCACTGGAAATGTAGATTTGTCTTTGTGAGGTCCTGAGTCCTGAGTAAGAACTCAGCAAGAAAATAGTGAACATAGGTTGGGGTGTTCGTGCAACATGTGAAAAAAAGCAATCAAAAAGTGATTGCGGAGACATAGGAAAGCAAATCATGGAATCATGGACAGGAAAATAGTGAGCAAATAGCAAGAAAATAGTAAGAAAATAGCGAGCATACTACTGACATATTGTGAAGCGCCTCCCGAAACGACACATGACGTTTATATGTTAGGTTTCGATTCTGGATTGCGTTTTTGATCACATTTTGATCACCTTTGTTTTGACTTCTTGTTTTTGCTATCCAAATAGTTCAATCAAATCACCTTTGGATCGCTTTCTGCTCACCTTTCCGCTCACCGTTTTTTTGACTTGTCCCCTATCCTGCACTCTGAGATTGCTTTTCGTTTGCTCCAACTCCTACTCCGAAATCACGAAAAAAAAGCCACCCTCAGCGGTTGGCTGGACTCCATCTCTTAATTTTAGAAGAAACTCAGCGCAAGTTCCTTGGAGCTCAGGTCCTCCAGGATATTGGAGGATATCCTCTGTTTGAATGTTTTGCGTTTTGGCTTGCTTCGTTTGGTTTTCTTTCAGGCTCCCCAAGCTGTGCGACTACCACCATCCATGCTTAAAGATTCACAATTCATGAGTGAAATGAGGACCAAGAACGCTATTAGGGGCTCCTGGCCTTACTAGGAACAAGGACGCTACTAGGAACAAGTGCATCGCTTCTAGTAACAAGTGCCTTACTAGTAGCAACAAGAAGCTACTAGGGGCTCCTGGCATCGCTACTAGGAACAAGGA